CTCCCCCCCCCCCCCCCCCCCCCCCCCTTCCAGTGCTCGGTGCCATGCGGGGTCGGCCAGCGCACCCGGGACGTCCGCTGCGTGGACAACCTGGGGGACGTGGTGGTGGACGAGGAGTGTAACATGAACCTGCGGCCCGATGACGTGCAGAACTGCGACACGGGTCCCTGCACCCGCAGCTGGTTCTTCAGCCCCTGGAGCGAGAGGGTGAGGCGGGGGCCGTCTGCCGGCCCGGTGCGCTGAGCTCTGCCAGACGGCACACGGCTTCCTGCGTGGGGATGTGGCAGGATGCCGAAATGCCAGTAGGCTGGAGCTGCCGGTGACGCTGTGCAGCTTCACAGATCCTTAAGAAGTGGAGCTCGAAGGGACCTGGATCCTTTGATGGGCAGCTACTCGCTCCAATTAAATGTATGTAATTAGGGCGACAGATAATCCATGTCAGGGAGACACTTTGAGCTACTTCAGGTTTTACAAACTACTTTCAAATTGAAAGGCTCCTGTGCTCGGCTAAATAGTTCAGCTCTTCTTGTGCTTTGACTGGTTTGTTTCCTTGACTGAAAGGCTCATCAAGCTGTTTCACATTAGCATTAGTGACACATGCATGATTATAGGAGACTGACCAATCAGCACACAGCAAGAGCTCAGTGCTCAAGTGAAATTCAGGTCATTTTGATTGAAATTGTAATTTACAAATCATGTCCTAGCTCAGAGTGTCCTCCCTGACATGGATTATCTGGTCACCCTAATGTGGTAGTACAATGGGATTACACTATTAGATAGTGAGAATATACTGTAGTTCCATGAGTGCAGTTGGCAGCCCGTTAAGCGCAGGAGGAGGGGCATGGAACCGTCGTCATGGTTTCCATAAGCGCTGAGAATCTTGGTACATGTGGGCTGACTGCTTAGTACGGTCTGCTGTCTGTAATAGCCGGGAAGCTTAAACTCAGAGTTCCAGAGTAGATTTATCAGGAACACTGTGGGGAGACACGCAACTAAAATCTAGGTTTTATGGTCCGATGGCAAAGTGAACTGGAACGATCTTTTGAAACCAGACGTTCACCAGTGTATTTAGATATAAGAACTGAGGGGGGCACTGTAATCCAAAGACAGTGGTTGGCTGTAGTATAGTGGTCGTTTTGACAAGCGTCTACATTTTAGGAGCGAATAAAATGCTCGATATTGTGGCCACAGTGTTAATAGGCACCAGAAGCTGGAATCAGGCTGGAATGTTGATGGACGCAATTATGTCGTAAAGCTCAGATAGACCCAGGGTGGGATTGTGCTGCATATAAACATTTCATAGCTTAGAGAATTTATTCATGAAGGACAAATTCTACTGGGCTGGGTAGTTGAAGGATAAACTCCCTAAGGGCTAAATCCCAGGAATTAAATTTATCCGTGTTTTATGTAGCGACATCAGAGGAAATCAGCTTAGGTGATACAGGTGTGTTGGCTGGTATCTGCCCAGTATGGACCCTCTGAAATGATTTTACTAGTCTAAAATAAATACAGGAAGAAGGTCCTGTGTCCTGGGCTATGCAGTAAATACAGGAAGAAGGTCCTGTGTCCTGGGCTGTGCAGTAAATACAGGAAGATGGTCCTGTGTTCTGGGATGTTGCATATTTCTGTGCAGCCCTCTGTTTTTTGATGGGCTTCAGGCCTCCCTGTGACCTGGAGCAGGATAAGCGGTTAGAAGATAGATGGATAGATGGATAGATGGATGGATGGATGGATGGAGTTCTACTGACCTGAGCACAGAAATGATGGTAAAACAGAATTAAGCATAACAGGCAGGTCCACAGTCAGATCTGGGCCAATGTGGTGATTTGGTACGAGCCTGGGGCTGATGCCCCGAATGAGTCCGAATGAGCCCTGGATGATTTGCTTAGCCTAGCTGTTCTGAGAACCATGATCTCAGTTTGAGAACCTTTGGCCATATTAGGCTAAACCCCCAATGTCAAGAGAGCCAGCAGTGTTTAATCACACCCTGCTTGTTTTCTTCAAATATGGCTAGCAGCTGTGTGTCCTTCAACATACACCCCCCTAGGGGGCAGTGTTGTCATTCTCCTGCTCCCTGATGATGATAACTCCTCCCTTGTCCCAAACCCACTGACGCACAGAGTTCATGTTGTTAATTATTCTAATAATTTACGATAGTCGAACATAAAGGCAATTCAGTTAATCGGCAGATATATTGTCTGTTTTGCAGATTCTGTATTGGCTGTTTTTCACATCTATGAATACAAATTGCTTTGATTTTAGTATCTTAGATTTTCAGTATTACACTAAACTGGGAAATAGGGGTTGGAACAGACAGAGAATGTGCAGAAAATGCAAAGAAAATGACAGGAATTGCTGGGGCGGGGGACACTTGGCAGAGGAGAGGGGGCTCACTGTGATGAAAGCCGTAGGGGGCATGGGAGGAGTGAGGGAGTCTTTAGTGACTTCCTGGGAATGGGTGGAGCCACTATCCTTCAGCTTTGAGGAAACGTATCTGGAAGGTGTTGGTACCTCACAGATGGACTTTAAAGCAGCTGATGGAAAATCTGTTTAAAAGACTGCTGGGACCAGGTCATCCATGTAAGGTGTCTTATTGGGCAGTGTTTCCCAACCCGGTCCTCGGGGATCCCCAGACAGTGCCTGTCTTTGCTCCTTCCCAGCTCCCTGCCAGACAGTCCACATATGTTCCAAAAATGTGGACCATCTGACTGTCCCGGAACACCGAACTGGGAAGTCCTCCTTTTAACTCCTTTAGACGGAGTTAACATTTTACTCTTTAACAGAGGTTTTCAGTGAAGTCAAGCCAGAGGCTTTTTTTTTGACTTTTTATCAAAAGCTAATCTTAAGCATCTTATTTACATTGTTTTGTTTGAAACGTTTTATACTAATTTATTAAGTTTTTGCCTATTCGATCTTCTGTTTTAGTATTGCCATGAATATAGTATAGAAGCAAACTGGTTTATATCAGATCAGCTGATTTTATAGTAGCTTGTTAGTCACCTAGTTTTCACATTCTTTGAAATCACTAGCTGATAAGAATGAGCCAGACGGGCTGAATGGTTGATCCTCATTCTTAGGGCCCTAAGTGCAAATGATGCTGTATCCGTGCACCTTCTGTTACGTTTGTTATTGGCTGAGTGACATTCTGCCTGATGCTCGATATTATCGCTGTAAGGCAAAGCATATATGATGGAGAGAGATGTTATGTTCTCTAAATAAAGGGGTGGGCAACTCTGTTTTTAATTATGCTTTACATTATCATCTTGCTCTTAATTAATTTCCCCTGGTGTTTCAGGGACTATTTTATACAGATTCTAGGACACTTAGGGTGGGAGTCGTCAGCTGCTGGTCTTGAGGATGTAGATGGGTTTGGCGGATGGGGGCTGCCTGCTGACCGCCATCTTTGTTTTTGGGGCGGGGCCAGTGCTCAACGGAGTGTGGCGAGGGCAGCCGAAGTCGCTCGGTGGTGTGCCTGACCAATCACATCAGCAGCCTGCCCCTGGACAGCTGCGGGGACGAGAGGCCGGAGGAGCGCACCTCCTGCCATATGGGGCCGTGTCAGAATAAGCCGGAGTGGTACACCGGACCCTGGGGGCAGGTGAGTGCGGCGCCCTCCAGTGGCGGGAGGGGAATCGTGTGTCCCGGAGGCACATTGGGCAGTAGGGTGACCTCACACCTCCATGTGGTTTTGGCCAATTAGAATCCCTACACCACCCCTATCATGTCAGTGTCCTGCAACAGCCAGGCGTCCCAGCCAGGCTCACGGGAACTCCCTATTGGATAAGCCATTCTGGGAAATGGATGGGTGACTGCTGATTGGATGATTGCTTCTCCATCCTCAAAATGTTTTATCAGCTACTTGCTTCTACTGCTGCCAGCGTTTCACCGGCTGATGTGATCCTGCCGTAGCCGGGATTCCCGGCTCCTGAACTCGTGCCGTTTGTCACCAGTGCTCTGCTGAATGTGGCGACGGGATGCAGAGCCGTCACGTGGTCTGCCTGTTGCACGGCGACAGCGGCCTCGAGGTCACCGCCTCCTCCAACTGCAGCCATCTTCCTCGCCCCCCCGCCAGCCAGCCCTGCCGGCTCAAAAAGTGCGGCCCGGCGTGGTACGTCACCGAGTGGAGTGCGGTACGTACCCCTGCCCCCTCCGCGCCACCCCACCTCTCCCTGCCACCCATAAGTCACAGCAGGGACGATGCCAGCCAATCCCTATTTGCAGTGCTCTCGCTCCTGTGAGGGGGGCTACCGCGTGCGGGAGGTCCGTTGCCTTGGCGACGACATGAATCCAAGCGAGGGGTGCGACCCCTCCATCGTGCCGGAGGACCGGGAACCATGCAACGAGCAGCCCTGCACCCCCGAGATCGGTATGGCTCCCTGTTAACGCGCTGCAGTTATCCGTTTACTTTTAGCGTTACCTGATAAATGGGCGGGGCTATCAACACTCCAGCTAACAGTCCTCCCTTGCCCCCTCCATCACAGACATGAACTGCCAGGATCTGTACTACAACTGCAACGTGGTGGTGCAAGCCCGCTTGTGCGTGTACGCCTACTACCGCACGGCCTGCTGCGCGTCCTGCCGGCGCCTCCGACTCCGCGAGTCCCGGAGAACGGGGAGGTGATCCCGCCCACACTGCTGCCACCAGCCAATCAGAAGTCGGAGAGTGTCACTCCAAGGCAGACTGTTTTTCTACAGCGATCACGTTTGATCACAGCGATAAGTATGACCCTGAACATTATTTTCCTCCAGAGATTTTTAAATTTCCTTTTTCTCAACCCAGAGTGACATTTAACTGTCAGTAATTATGCTTTTGAGACATTGTTTAATGCACATACTTGGTTATGCTTATTTAACATGGAACCATGAAAATTTTAAACATTAAAAATATTAACATTGCCAAACCAAATTATAACCTTTGAGTGAAAGGTTCTATGTAAACTAATATTTATATTAAAAAAACGAAGATGTTTAATTGAAAAACAAAGGCGCACACACAGACATTTCAGAATATCCATGTTTTTACTGTGACACTATACGCAGACTTCAGTAAAAAGGCCATTCTCGAAAAACAAACATGTGACCTCAAGCAGAAAACTCCTAAATCCCACCATGCTAAACATGGAGGGGGGGGGCAGTATTCACCACCACCTCCAGCTCCCAAACAGCAACTCGTCACATTCTGGAAGCACAGGGGGTCCGATGGGAAGAGAGGTGTTCCCTTCTTCCCGGTTCCTGTGCTCCCACTGTATGTCGCAGGCTGTACCGTGGCTTACATTCAATCCTCCTGTGTGGGTCGGAGAGGCACCATGTTGTCATGGCGATAGGGAGGCTAAACCGTGGCCAATGGTGCCCCCCTCCCATGACCACTTAAGCGTCAGGCTTGACTGCCTGTTTCACAATGCTAGCAGTGGGACTTTGAGAGGGAAAAAATATATAATAGTAAGAACATCACCATGGTTGATTTTACATTGTCAGGAAACTACAATCATGGTTTATAGGCCTCCATTTCCCATAATGCATTGGCAGGTAACATTATCCAGGAAACAAAGTAACTCCAAAAATATTTCTCATTCTTTCACTTGTTCCGTTTAGCTTATCCGAGTAAAATATATTTTTTTTTTTTTATGAATCGTACCAACATTCATTATCAATACTGTCAATGTTTTACAAAGACAAACAAGATAAAATACAGTATAAAACAGAAAAAGAAAGTTTGTAAAATGATTGCCAGAAGTTAACCGAGAGCAATGACTTTGACACCAGCAACACTGAGCCCTGAGATCGCAGGTTAGTCGCAGGGGCCCCGGGCCCCGGACGTGCTACGCTGCGGGGGGACAAGGCACGGATCAGGGAGGTGAGGCGAGCCTCGGGACGCGGCCGTCCACAAGAGGGCGCTGCAGCGAGGCAGTGTAAGACACTGGAGTCAGCCGTTTGAGGCCAATTTACACACGTTTGCTGAGAAGCGACAAAAACAAAAAACTAAAAATACACTGATATGAAGCGACCCGACCACTCACACAGGTTTACAAGAGCGTAGTAACTTCTCATGAGTATGTTAACTATAGATTTTTGTTACTGTTAAGTACTTTATATTAACACAAGGCTTTGTCAAAGGTAATTATACACAATATATAAATGTATCTTACAAGAATATACAAGGGCTTTTCACAATTATGACCAATATTACATCCAAGCATTCAAGGCAACAGCTTTGGCTTTCAGATTAGTTTACATATGAACAAATACAAAAAACAGACAGTTCACGCCAACAGATTTTCCTCAAAAAAAATAATAAAAAAAATTCAAGTTTCATGTTTCTCCAAAAAAAAAAACCCACGTGACAAGAGGAGCAGAAACAGTGGATGTAAAAAGGGCACATCAAGTTGTCCGTCACACTTGTGCAAGTAAATGTAAAATGCTACAACTGAAAAACATACCGGGGGGAGGGGTGTTCGGAGACACAGACCAACCCATCAGGTTGTTCTTACTGTCAAGAGTGACACTTGTCCCCCCCCCCATCCACTGGGACCCACCTTCTGGCCAGTTTGGGCCCCCCTGTTCCCCTCACTCGCTGTCCGTCTCCGGGTCGGTGTCGGACCACTCGACGGGGGCCAGCAGGCGGCGCCGCTGAGCGTACTCCAGTACAGCCATGTAACAGAAGTAATACTGGTCCCAGGTCTGGATGCTGAACGCACGCTGTGAGCGCATGCGCCTCACTGTCTGCTTGATGTCCACTGTGCCGATGTCCTCCAGGCGGGACAGGCAGATGTCCAGCGTGCAGAAAGTGCCTGTGGGGGGTGGGGGCTTGCTTAAAAACCTTACACACACAAATACAGCCACATGGACAAACCGTGGAAATTTACTACCTGTCCTTCCAATGCCTGCACTACAGTGCACCACCACCGGGGGGCCCCCTGGAGCACCCGTCCAGTCGGCACGCATGGCCCGGAATGCTGCCTCCTGGTGCTGCTTGACCTGGCCCCTGAAGTCCAGCATGGCGGAGGCAGACTTTGGGACGCCGAAGTCCGGCCAGCTCATGTACAGGTAGTGAGCCACGTCCCGGGTCTCCCCTGTCTTAGGGGCCGGGAGAGTGACACGGAGCTGACGTTAGCGCCCCCCAGTGGCACTTCAAATAAACAAGTAAAGAACAAACAAACCCAAAATACAGATATGCAGCTGCATTCCAGGTTATCCTTTTACTGGAATTAGAGAAAAAATAAGAGTCACAAAAAAATAGTTACGAGGACAGCGCTTCCAGCTCACTCATAAAAAACGTTTGCTTAATGTGTTTAAAACTTTGGTATAACAATATAAAATGTGTCATATGCATTAAATGGGCTTCGACATCTAGCCAAATCACTGCCATATCATTTCAAATCACACTAGTAGCCACCATACTGGGCAGAAGGCCTTATAGGCTGGGGGAGCCACCATACTGGGCAGAAGGCCTTATAGGCTGGGGGAGCCACCATACTGGGCAGAAGGCCTTATAGGCTGGGGGAGCCACCATACTGGGCAGAAGGCCTTACAGGCTGGGGGCCCTGAATGGTATCTCAGCACAGAGAGTGGGGGTCCCGCCATGCTGATGACCAGACACCCCATCTACGAGAGCGCCAAGATAAATACCCCACCTGTATTCCATCAAAAACAGACTGGCGACTGTACAGATTACAATCAAACAGTGTGTTAAACAGTTAAAATGTTATTAATGTATTTATAACCAAGTTTGATTCATAACTACTTGGGTTTTTTATTTTTTTAACCGAGTTCTCCATAAGCACGACAGGCCCTGCCCCCTCACACACGGAGATGCCCAGCTGACCAATGAGATCCAATCACATTTCGGTCGCCGTGCCAGAGCGTCGCTGGCCACGAGGCACAAACAAACAAACGCCTTGAGCTCACCCGGCTGTCGCAAAGCTCCAGGTGCGAGAGCTTGAAGTCCTGGAACATCTCGATGTGGACGTTCCTGACCACGAAGTGCCCGTGCTCCTCAGATCGGCCCACGTCCAGGGGCCAGTACTGACCGCACTTCACCCGGCCACGCTCCACCACTCTGAAGGCAGCAGCACGGCCCCCGCCAATCAACACCCCACAACAAAAGCATGGCAATTCCTCTATCTCACTGCAAAACGCCCCCATCTGGTCATTCTTATATTTACACTATATTTACCTAGTACACTAGGAGAGCACATTACTTACAGAGCAAATTTAGCAATCTAAATGACACATGTATGTGTGTCTTACCAAATTCACAATTAATAATGTGACTCACTGGCATCTACTCATCACTATTTTAAAACTCACTGCATTATCTCCAGGATAATTAGGCAAGTCCCGGCCTGGATGGGAGAGTTGTACGGCTTATTTACGCATTTACAGTGGCTACGCTAACCCCCACGAGTACAGGAAATGGAAAGAATTACCCATTTAAGTGGAATTTCGCATGGACGCAACATTAAGGGACATTCTGCTCATCTTCTTTACTGAAATAAGCCTTTTTCCGCCCGGGATTTTATGCAAACATGAAAACTGACACTGAATGTTAATCAGTTAATTTACAGAAAATGAGATTAATATTATGTTCAAATTATAAAGAGAAAATCAGAAAAAATACGCCGACAATAAAAATAATAGATTCAGTTACATTTGCCATTAAAATCCCTCCACGCCAAGTTGTATCTAATAGAGCATGAAGACAGTGGGTAAAAAAAATATTTAAAAGGGATCTAATTTTCTGAATTCTTTGAATTAGGCCGCTTTCAGGCTGTGACAGAGCCGGCCAATGAGAATGACCGGGCAGACGTCACATGGTATACAGCAGCATAACCTGTGCTGCTAGCTGTCTAACAGCAGGCCAGAAAGCTGGGAATCTCTTGGAGGAGCCTTGTTGTTTTACCTTGTCGTCATTACGATGATCAGAACCATTTGTTCCCACACCATTCTCCAGAAGTCAGCGTACGTCTTTGGCAGAGGCCCTGTAACGGGAAGGGGGGGGGGGCTGTGTCACGTGACAGAACGCACACAGCCTGTTTGGGACACGGCAACGCCTGCTTCCCGTCGGACGGTAAACAGGCGGCGTGGAAGACGCCGCTGGACAAGCCGATGCAAAAAATAGCCCGCGTCACGCGATTCTGCGCTTCCTGGAAATGGAAGGAGCAGACGTCCAGTGACGGTGCCCTGGGACATGGCGACGGGTGCAAGAGGCCGGCGGCACGCGGCCTCACGTTTACACCCCACGCAGACTGGACACCGGCACCTCACCCTGAGTGGCGATGTAAGCACTGCTCCTCTTGTAACCATCCATAAAACTTGCGTTGATGTAATCTGAGGTCTGCAGCAGAACGAGATCAGAAAACAAAAGCCGGTTCAGTCGGGAAACCTGAGGACAATGAATTCACAGAAAATGAACGGGAACCAAAAGTCCCATTAAAATCTGACTTTTACCCCAGACCATACTGCCCTCTAGTGGCATTCTGTGGTACTACACAAACTGTTTCCAGCTCAAACCAAACTCCACTGGCATAAAGCATGTGTATGTCTGAGAATTATATACATTAACTTTAATTCAGAAAATTCTACAAACAGGCTCATTTTGGATTCATACATTTAATATCGATAGCCAAAAAAAAACAAAACAAATCAAATCAAAATCAAAAATCAGCAGGTTACTTTCCATAAGGTGACAAATACCTCGTCGTCATCATCCAGTGGGGAGAGCTTGACTCTCGAATGATCAAGACACAGGACGTCGCTGTACCTGTTCTTCACCTGATTGCACGGTTTCCTGGGATCGGATGCACAGGGAACACTATGTAATCACCGATCTCAAATCGCAGTAAGAATATCAATACTGTTGTCCTTGGGGGGGGGGGGTGGTGATGGGGGTCACACTGAGCATCTCTGAAGCAGAATCCTCACCGAGTTCTCCGCACTAAATCCTGCATGCAGAAAGCCTGCATCTGCCCCGCCAATGTCAGGACCCGTTATCTGCCATTTCTCCACATAAAACCCACGCAGTTTCCTTTCAGGGAACCTCCACAATCCAAATAAACAACAGGAGGTACTTTTCAAACAAACACACACACACACACACAAGGTTCCCGTCATAAAATAGCACTGATGTTCCCAGGCTGACGGAGACAGCGGAGGAGGAGTCGTTTACAGTAACTGTGTTACTTCCTGTTTCTCGACGATCAACTGGAACTCCGTTCTTTTTATAGTGCAAACCACACACAAAAAAAACACACCACCTTATACAAGATGGAAACAACTGTCCCTAGTAGGATCACATGGGCGGTACGTAACATGACGACATCACTAAATTATCAGGATTCCTGTAAGGATGCAAGAACATCTCCAAAGGGCTGAAGAACCTATTCTAAAACTACCTCTCAGACACTTATACATAAACACTCTTGGTCTACCCTAGGTGGCAAGTTCCAATGTTCTCGATCTTCGGTTCCATCTAACAGTTCCTAACCCCGTCAATCACCTTCCAAGAGGGAACGTGTTGCTCTGATTTCCCAGAACACTAAAAGTTGGGACAGTAGATCAGTTTGGATCAGGAAAGCCGATCTGGACCTTCCTTACCATAGAGGAATGATTCCTGGGCCGGACATGGACTTCAGTCTAAAGCGAAGAGCTAATGATCCCCCCCCCGGCCTCCTAATCACCCCCAGGTGATCCAGCCCGTGCTGCCATGGCTCAGCTTGGGGACTCACTTAGAGTAGTCGAAGGAGCCCGATGGCTGCTCCTTGCGGATCTCCTCGTACTCCTGGTAGATGCCCTTCTTCTTCTTTTTCTTGACATACTGCACTAGCTGAGTGACGTCCATGCCACCGCTCTCGGGCATGTGCACCGACTGCTCGGCGTCCGGCCCGGGTCCGGGTGACAGGCCCAGGTTCTGGGCCGGCGCCGGCCGTGAGGACTTCTGCGGCAGGGGAGGCACGTCCAGGCCAGCCTCGTCCTCCTCCAGGCCCCCGCCGTCCTCGTCCCGCTGGCCCGAAGCCGCGATCCCATCCGTCACGGCCGAGCCCCCACCGCACTTGCGGTACAGCGGCGTGTCGGGCGGGGTGTCCGACTGTGGGGGAGGCGGCGGGTGGAGACCTCGCTCGTTCGCATTGGGGCTGCCGTGGACGGAGTCCCTCTTCTCCCTACGACCATCCGCCACCCCGGCCCCCGTGACCCCTGACCCCTGAGTGAGCGCAGCGCCGTTCCAGTGCTGGCAGTGGCCCCGTGGGAACTCGGGCGACCGGCTAGTCCTGCTTGGCCTGTGGTAGTGATTATGCACGTTGGCATTGGTGGTGCAGCTGTTGTCGTCCCCCAGATTGGAGTTGAGGGCATCCCCGGTGGTCGGGTCGACCGCGGAAGAGGGCTGCTTCATGGAGTAGGAGCGGAGCAGGTTCCCCACGCAGTCCCCGTCCCCGCTCTCCAGCCCAGCTTGGCCGGAGTTGACGCAGGCCTGGATCCAGGCGATGTGGCTGTACTGGGAAGATCCTCCCAGGTGCTCCGGCAGAGACTCCATAGGGATGTAGCCAGCCAACTCGTGCGCCTTCACCGTGCAAACCTGGTCGGGCACCGCAGAAAACACGATCAGAACCTCGACTGCCAGCCGCCGGCAGACACACACAGACACACACAATCCTGGAAGTCATGAAAGCCCAAGAACACAAGAAACCTAACACTCACAAAACAGAAATCTCACACCCAGCTCGCAATAGGAGAACTAAACTTCCACAGATCTTTCCGACATAGGACAAAAAAATAGAAAAAAAGAAAAGCAATTTTAAAAATGCAGGAAGCTTTTATCTCAAAAACTTGATCCTGCTAAGATCTGACTGTCCCTCCTGGGGGAAACTTGGGGAACAAGTATGATCTCATTTGTCTCATAAACACCCCCCCCCCCACAGTGGTTTCTATGGTGAAAGTGACAGTCGTGTGCACAGCAGAAGCAAAGACACACTTCTCTACCACTACAGTGTGAAACAGTAAAGCCGTATCAGCTGGTTCTTACCCAGTCTTGGTGCAAAGAGACATAGCAGAGGGAGAATGATATGGAGAGAACAATGGCATCATCTGGTTGAAGAATTACGGTGATAATGCAAAAAAATTAAAATTAAAATAAAATCCAAAAGAAATCCACTAAATTTACAGAAAAAGGCTAGAAAACAGAAAGATTCACTTAACGAGTTGATTTAACACTGGACGGATGCATCTATCCAACAAAGACGGCACCAAAACACAGACGGCCACAGAACAGAGGGAGAGTGAGATATGAAGGCGGATAGGATGAGACAGAAATAATGAGTAACAGTCAGACGGTACCCTTTCCCTCAGCTTCTCCCGGACAAAGAGGCGGAGCACAGCGAAAGGCGCCCGGAACCACAGCGGAGACGACACGATGAACACATACTTGAGGCGTGCAGGAAATGCGCCCTGGCCAATGAGGACAAACAGGACAGAACAGTAAGGCGTCAGATCCGTCACATTCCGTCGCGCAGCGGCATCGCGGCCGGGCCGTAGCCACCAGATCTACCTTCTAACGGAGGAGCAGGCCTGCTGTCAAAGATCATTTTGGTACACTGCTCATCAGAAAGGTAAGGACCTGGCATAAAACAATACTCATCAGAATACAAGCTTGCGGCTCAAAAAGTGAGTCAGAGCCCTCTAGTTTATTTGTGAACATCGCATGAGATTCTTATATATGAAATGACCTCCCTAGCAAATCATAACTCAAGGTGTCTAAAGGCTGCATTGACAATTTTCAAGGCATTAGCTCTAAATGTTTTAAGTACGACAGATTTATCTATAAGGCTTCTGTGCCCTTCCTGGAACAGGAACTTCCTGGTGAAGTTCCCACCTGGCCTTTTAGGGCCCTTGCACAGTAATTACACCCTACAGGAAGGGAACCTCCTGACATGAGCGGAAGCCTCCAGTCAGAGGTTGTTGAACGGAGGCTATACACTCCAGTCGACCGACCAGATTACACCGAAGTGACATCTTAGTGGCAAAATTGTAGCGTAAGGATACGTCAAGTTGGGTTTTCAGGACGTCTAGAAGGTGTACAGTGACCCGTCAAAGGAACACTACATGGATTCCATTCTAAACATCGATATCTTCCTGACTAGGAGCACAAAAATGTGCAAAACTGCTAGTATTTCATAATTAATACGCATTTATACAAGCGAGGAGCTTCCAGAAGAAATAAGGAATAAAGGCTAACAAACACTGGAGATGAGCTACGAGGTTCACACCTTGAGCAGGTTGAGTATTTTCACACACAGCTCATAGTCGAAGTTGCCGTACGTGGAGTTGGTCATGTCGTAGATGAACACAAGGCCGTCCCGCTGCGTCTGGATGCTGAAAGCGAAAGGAGAAAAAACCGCGAGCACAGCTGTGCGGTGCCTGCAGACCCACTGGCCAACACGGCACAAGCAGCAAGATAAATCGCGGGGAAATTAGGGCGCCTGACAGCTACAAGAGGCAATTATTCACAAAGTGCTGTGCGACGACTTGCCTGTACAACACGGTCAACTGGGAACGGCTGTTCCACTCCGCTGCGGATTTCATAAAATACGCCCATGTGATGAGAGCATTTAGCGTGTTCGCGCTCGTATGCTGTGCAACAAGCCGATTATAAGGTGCTTGTGCCTTTAAGAGACATGGTTTTCCCATGTATGGATTTTATCCATTTTAACAGGCGTCATGCCGCCATATCGTTACCTCTCGATGGCCTTGTCCAGCTGGTAGATGATGGCTTGCAGCACGGCCTTGTGGGACGTGCTGTCGGGTCTGTGAAGACGGGCCGTGAACAAGGCGAGCGCCGCGCCCTTAGCGTCTCGGCCGGGCTGCGGGAGAACCGCACACACACTTGGTTAAACGGGTCATTGCTAAGACTAGGGTAGCAAGTGGGCGGAGCCTGAACCCCAGATTGTGAACCAGCAGATGGTCCCTACGAGGCAAGATTACTGCCTCAGTTACTCACATCCAGAGTGTATAATGTGCCGAGAAGGTTCATGGGATGCATGCTTGCAGGTGAACACAACATGCACCGATAAAAAGGACGCACTTACCAGGACTGTGAACTTCCCATTTAGCAACTCTGACCGAAGAGGTTCCTCGTCAGGGTTGATGTTATAGATGCCCTCCTTTATCCGGGTGTTCTGATGGCGAGAGATATCACCGTAAAAGCGAAACTCAAGGAGCACAGTTTGTCAAAGTCTGTGGTTCAGTTCTTGACCCCACCAAGAAGGTCTTGGCAGCTCTCAATATGAATCATCAAGGAATTACACAAAAGTTTTGCGTGCTAATTTCCAACTGCATTTCTCTCATCGGATCGTGCTTAACGGTCGGTAAATATGGCCAGATGAGATCTGAAGTAAAAGGTCATCCTGATAGAGCTCCAGCCGACGTGCTCGTCGCTCGGACAGGAAGTCTTCCATTTCCCCGCGTCACCCTATCGGCCGGTCGCCTCGCATTCAAATTCTGAAGCCACGGGTGGTCGCACGGGGTTACCAACGGGAACAAAAGGGACTCTAGAAGCTTCTCCACAGATGGAAAGTAATCAGGGAAGCATCGCCCAGATGAGACGATAGACAGAACAGCTCGCTTATGTTTTTCCGGCATGCCAAGTCTGAACAAGACAGGGACCTCATGCTTTTCCACGTCGGATGCAGGCTGAACTGCCAACCCATTGGCTCTGCTCAACATCTATTCCGGGGAGAGCGATTTCCACATTGCCGCTGCTGTGACCCCGTTCAACTGTTTGTGAACGGCGGTGTTGTCAATGACGGAATTTCAGGAGAATGTTCTGCAAAGTTGTGAAGCACACCCCTCCCCACCCCCCCCCGTAAAGTGTTTTTTTTGGAGAGTTCAGGTTCAATGGGGCCCAAAAGCCAAGGGTCGGGTGCGACACCTCAACATTCTTGTAGCTATCAGGCTAACATCAAGAATGTTATATGCTTGTGGTCTGCTGTGCTCTTGTTGAAATAGTGACACTATTATTAAAAATAAACACTTTTGGCTAAGAGTAACCCAAAGGACTATCTGGATGTCCCGACTCTCATATCCTCTACTCAAGATACTAAACTTAAGAGTTTATTTTTAAAATGCATATTTATTACCATATTTTAATAGTTACTTTCGAGATTAGTGAAGATTCAACTAAATCTAGTTTTAATATCATGCAACATTTATTGCTGTTTTCAAAACAGCAGATTTTAATTGGTTTTAGTTAGATGCACAGCAACCATGCAAGAGACAATACATCCCAAAGGCTTTTTTTTAAACATCATACATGATTGAGCTTGTTTATAGAATGTATTCTCCTCTGTTTTTCCTCCCTTTTTGCATTTCAAATGGTGAATTCATCCTGTTCGTACTCGTCCTTGAAATTCAATTCTGAAATTATGCGTTTAGATTTTAACTGTCATCATTGTTTTGTTTTTTTTGTCACTGTCATGAAAGTCACAGAAGCTTCCAAAGAGGATCCTTGCTTTTCACTGACTGCAGGCGTTTATCCTGTTACCGACAGAGCTGCTAACACGGGATTGGTTGAGCCATGTGCGGGAAGGGGGGCGTCTCCCAGACCCTGGGCTTCACTGGGTTTCAGTCAAGCAGACCCTACTTAACATTTCAGAACGAAAAGCTCAACCGAGACAATAATTAGCGACGTGTCTACAGATACGTCTGCAGTCAAGGGCGGCCCTATTCATCTGAATCGAAGGATTTCACCTACACGAACAAGCAAAGCAGTTAGCCAGTTTTCATCAAATTAAACAGATATCTGTAAAAGTGGCGGGAATAGATCCGAAGCAAATTATATTGCTAAAACAAAAATGCTTCTAAAAATATGTATATCCAGGTAGAATGTAGTCACACACGATCAATGAAATAATGAATAGATTTCTTAGCCAATGAAAAATTAAGCTAAAGAATTTAATTCAAATTAAGTTCTATAATAATTTGCCTATGTATGCTGATGATTAATTACATTTACTAGGAGTGGAGTACTTAGAATTCATTGATGCAACAGTGCAATTAAGGAAAAGGGGTCAATTTACATCTAAGATGCTGAACAAACCAGTATACACTGTGACCTTAAAATCTAAAACCCTGTTTTTAATAATTGACGATAATGAGACGAGCAAGATGGACAATGTGTCGTCATGATTCTTCTGGCACAAAAAATATGAAAATGCTTGGGAAAAAAAACCCTTACTAAGGCTAGAGTTACAGATTATAAGTTACGGATTATAGAGGCATGTATGTCAAAACATCACAGAATAGAACTGTGGGTGTGGCTGCCAGGAACCTTCTGAAGCAAAAATTGAGAACGTTTGTATTAAGTCAAGAAGAAATTATTTTCTATTCTTTCATGCAACATAACACGACTAAGTACTGGCACCCAATATATGAAAATTACAGGAAGTTGTGCAACGCCATTAGTGTTTAAAACCATATGAATGAGGCATTTCTGGAAAATCCCAAAATGCCTGGCAATAGTCTATTTCCAGCAACAAATTCCAGAGTTCATCAAGTACAATCAATCAAATAATTAAAAACAGGCTATGACAAGAAGCCAGTCTTCAACATTTGGAGTTAAATGTTAACAGTTAGCCATGGAAAATGTTAAAAGAACTCAAAGAAATGGGACCAGGACCCGTATAATCCAGGAGAACTGCCCGGAGGAGACGACCGAAGCTGCCATCTTACCTTGTATGCCTGGAAGAGTTCGATGGCTCTGGAGACGTCAAATTTGCGGGCCATCAGGAACTTAACAGCGGTACTCTGGGAGACCAGAACCTGAGTGTGCTGTTCCTGGTTCCGAAGCTCCCTCAGGAACTCCTCCACAACCTGCCGGACAAGAACCACACGCAGCAACGCACCACATGAGACCAAAGACAACAGTTAGTGAACTAGCTGTGGTTCTTGAGACTACTTAAGCTCAGGGGCCTGTACTACAAAGCGGGGTTACCGGCTTACCGGGGTAACTTGTCGGATTTAAGGTAGTCTGGGTGAAATGTAAGTGAAGGAATATGAAGTCCATTTAAACTGTGGTACCTTAAATCCGACAAGTTACCCCGATAAGCCAGTAATCCCACTTCGTAGTAGAGGCCCCTGATGGCTTTCCAAAGTCTGTGACCGGGTCTCATTCGGGGTTTAACTGCATATTTAGTCGACAACCTTGTGTTTGTTGATACGTGAATAAACCCAAATTCAAATACCGATCAAAGTGTCCAAAACCTTCAAATTGTCCATGTTTCATGTGAAACAAACATAACATCAAACGAAGAGTGAAAACAAAGGCAGTGGTTACAAATGACTTTATTCCCATATTTAGACCAACATGAAGGTATTAATAAATTACTAAAGTGTTTCTGGATGAAGTTAAAGCATGGAATTATTAAACAGTGGACACCCAAAAACACCACATCTTCTCAAAAGCCTGCAGGGCCTAGAGGCCATGAAGAAGGGCAGATATCATGACGTAGTAAAAGAAGTAATAAAACAATAATAATTGTGAAATAAATAGCACAACACATATCGAATGAATGACAAAAGGCTTACACACCCAACCTAAGAATGAAAAGAAAAGGAAGATCCATTTCAACAACATTCATTTCATTTTCATTTTATTGCTTTAACAGACATTTAACCAGAACAACGTGCACTTTTTCTTTAAGAAGGCTGGCTGAGACAGTTGCTGAAGCAATAGGGGTTAGGGGCCTTACACAAGGCACTCGCCACTCTGGTGACCACAAGATTTGAACCAATGAGCTTCCAGGCACAGGCAGTGTCTAAACCCAGTGAGCCACACGCTGCCCTCGGTGCCGAATACGGCATCCCTACGGAGTTCAATTATTTGCGATTTAATAAAAAGCTGTTATACCAGGAAGCAGGAATATATTCTGGATGTACGAGGAAAGGATATCAGCAGACAGACTCCAGTGAAAAAGCACAAATGCAAACAAGGGGTCCTCCGGATGTCACGCTGGACAAACGCGGCTCGCACGCTTGCGATCCAGATACTCTCGTCCTCTTACCACCCTACAGTGACATCTCGTCGGCTGGGCGGCACAGCTTGCTGGTCTCCACTGCACGTGGGCGCACGCAGAAAGGAACCTGACTGTTCCAGATTCAGGAATTCAATCACGTTACCCTGTCTACACAGGTGCAGGATTTAAGTCCAAAAAAAAATCACAGGGGCTGTAAAAAGCACCACTAGGATCTCAAAAACTAAAATCTGGATCACCTGACTACAAAATAGATTACCACTTTAGAGTGGTGGGTAGGAAATGACTCTTGGCAATACAAAGACAGCGAAGAGGCAATTTTAATTTTTTTTATTTAATTCAAAGCTTATAATATAAAAACTGGCAGAATGTCCGAGAATGTCCCCCTGGACGTGATCTTGGGGCATTAAAAGGATTGGAGAACCTGCTTTCAGGATGGATACTACATGAGGAAGAGAAAAAAAAAAAAAGTCACCAAATTTAACCACAAGGCTTTCAAAATAGATCCAAGATACAAGTTATGGAAGCGCTTGGGGCAGAGGAAAGGGGAAAGGCACAGGAGGAATTACAGTACTGAGTATAGCATCCCCCCCCCCCCCCATTAAATCATTTGTCAAAACGCGGCAAGAATGCAACGCCACCAAGAATATTCTTAGAATATAAATCGTTGCCAAACAGGGCAGCAGTGCAGGGAACCACACTAGCCGGCGTTGATCCCGGGGGAGACTACAGCAGAAGAAGCCCCCCCCCATGGAAAACGGGCCGAGGACACCAAACATAAACCCAGCACTGCCCAGTACTGGGTAACACCAGCCACACTGCGAACCGTGTCAGGACACAAATTAGCGGCCCTCACATCTCCAGAGAAGCTTTTCAGCATGAGGGTAAATAATGGAGACGGTTACCAGTAAGCTGAGAAACTCCATGCAGCAGAAGATTAAAGGCTGAACTTACGATTCACCTTACAGCAAAACAATAACTTGAGGGGGAAAAAAGCAACACTAGACAGAGTTAAAGACAAAGAATGTGCTAGAATGATCCCTCAAAGTCTGGCAGTCCCACTGAGACTGAAGCAGGACTGATGTTGCTTTTCACCAATACAGTCAATGGAAAACTGCAGATGGAGCATCTTATCTGACCAAGACGTTTATATTTTCTAAGTTTCGTGAATTCATTCTCCTGCAAAAGCTCGCTTCTTTAGGATGCAGAGAGGAGTCTGTAGAGAGGAAACCAAATCCCTTTAAAGCAGACCAAAATTTCACACCACAACCACAAAAAGAGGAGGTAGACTTCCTGAGTGGTTCCTGTGAAGGAGCTGGATGTGTTGGACTGGTTGGGTTTCTGTATTCCATTTTTGTCCACAGACATTTACAAGACAAGCACTGAAATGCATTTACACTCCACATGTAAATCGAGACTTAGTGGGGGGGGACTGGTTGGGGGGGGGGGTCTAGAGTTACAGGCTTCAAAAGAAATTTGGAATCAGGGGGGTTATTATTGAATAAATGAATGCACACCAAGGTTAAGGTCCTCTTGTCAAGATGGGCCCTATAACTGACGTGAGCGATCCAGCTTCTGCAAGTCTATTTTAGCCTGGTGTAATGACCGACCTTGCCATGCAGTGGGTCTGTGTGAGGTTTGCACTCTACAGCAAATGGATGGTTCGCAGATAAAAGCAGATGATGAAAGAAGGTAAGGGAAAAATGAGAGAGAAAGCAGAGCTTGCGTTTGAATGCAACGTGTCGGAAACGAAATACCGCCCCAGGATTAATGATGGCAATGGACGGTCATTTTAAAAGCCGGCATGACTGAAGGAAATAGTAACAAGACGCGTTCATGTTTTCGATCAATTGCAGCCGGCTTATGGCTTCCGATAAGGCATCTCGCTGAGATGTCAGGATGGTTGATTTGCACTCCCATCCCTCAAAAACTAAAGCGGGCTTTTCGTTTGCACGAGTCTTTTAATTAGCTGCTCAAATCCAAAAATGCAGGGCTTCAGATGCACAAATTTCAAGAAGAGGGAAAAAAAAAATCAAGATGTAAAATGTCTATAATTATAAAAATTACGATTAAGAATAGTATAGATGATGAGTCTATAGGTACTGGGATGCACTATCTTGTCTATTATTAAGACATCGGAAATTGCAATGTTTTTAATAAATGGCATACACAGCCATCGTTATGAGCCGTCTGGCTGTCGGGAATCACGATCCGTTACAGACAGTTTAGACAGTTAAACGCGCCTGAAAGTCCGCTATTAACGCTGCCCACCGCCACCTCGCAGCAGAGCAACAGTAAAATACCGACTTTAGGCCACCGAATCTCTCCTGGGCTCCCGAACCTCCTGCCCCAGCAGTAATCGGGAATCAGGAAACCATCCTGCAGAACTGCAGCGTAAATATATGCATAAAGCAGCCGCCCGACACGCAGCAATCTCGGACTCGGCAGGCAGTTACACGGTCTGTCAGATCCAGTAGATACGGAGGGGAAGCCAAAAGCACGGGCCCCGTCCCCAAAAAGCAGCATTCCTCGGCGCCAGGGCATCAAGAAACGACCCAACGGGGAAAGCAATCAGTGCAACGGAAGGAAAAGGAAACAGCAAAGACAAGAAGCCAAGTATCGAACGTTAAAGACAGAAAAAGAAATACCAAGATCCAGCGTTATGTCTTACCAGCACTTCTTGAGTTGTCAGGGCTTCCGCCATCTTGAAGCCTCAGCAACAGCGTTGCTGCGGTCCCGCCCACATGGTTGGGCGAGCGTCACCAGGACCCGCCCACATGGCTGGGCGAGCGTCACTTGGACCCGCCCACATGGTTGGGCGAGCGTCACCAGGTCCCGCCCACACGGCTGGGGCGGCGTCACCAGGTCCCGCCCATAAGGGTGGCCGAGCGTCAGGGAGAGCCGCCCACGTGGCGTTGGGCCAGCGGTTCTCGGCAGCGGCACTTAATTACCTTAATGCCACCGTGTTGATTCAGTTCGCTAAGACTTGAATTGGATTCCTTTATTGTCATTGGACACATATTCAATGTGCAACTTCTCCATTTCAGCACTATTTCTGTGAAATGATACAAAATAATACTATAAAAACAGTAAAAATATACAATATGAGAAACATTTCATGAACCGTTTGCATTATATGTATATAGCCTATACATATAGTGCAAACGGTTCATGAAATGGTTCAGGTTGTGCAAAGTTACGATTGTAGTGCAATGTTTACAGTGAGGTAATTACAGGCTAATTGTAAGTAGCCTACAAAAGTTCTGCCGGGGGAGAATTGATGGATTGATTTAGTGTGCTTATTGTTGAACCAGGCGGCTCATAAGAAAGTGTAAGCCATTATTATTATTATTAGCTTTCTGTATTTCTTATTCGTATGCTTATTTGTCAATCTTTTGAGTTTTTGTTAATCTTAAAATCGACCTGTTTGCATGTCGTTAAGAGAAATATGAATGAAGCACAGTATATATATCGGTCTGTTATTCTTTCGACACTTCCTTTTCCGGAAAGCTGCACAGAGCAGGTATTATGGTCTGGCGCAACTAAGATGCCAGTTAAAAGTATTCTGATACTAACAGAATTAATAAAAATGTGTGTGTGAGTTCTGTGTATAGTATCACTTCAGTTGTTTAAACAGCTGCTGATATGGATTTAGATACACCATATTAATCTCTAAATGCTCAACTGGTCGTCAGCATTTTCTTCCTCACTAGACATTTCATGATTTATTCATTAAAAAATACATAAAGTGCTAGTGGACCCGGAGAAGCCGCTTCCCAGGGGAGACAGAAGGCTGAGATCAATCTCTATTAATTGAATTGGCTGGGAACTGATCCAGTTAATCTCTTTAGACTTTTTTTAATCAGACAAATTTTGTTTCTGGTTCTACGCAAAACACTTGCAAGTTGATACGGCTTTCGTCTCTTTGGCCAATTAAAACAATTGTACATTTGTCGAGGAACACGATGTCATTTTAACAAAATGCAGTACAGATCAATTAAATCCAACAATATTCCATCAGGAATATTTTGTTGACGTGTGCTTTGTTATTTGAACAACAATAATATTTTGTCGACGTGTGTTTTGTTATTTACCAAGCTGATTTTGTAGGACACTTCCTCAAAGTTATATTGCACAGGTACTAATTGTAGCTCGATAAGCAAGTTAGCAGAAGTCGGTGTTTTTACTGCATGTGCCGCAATCAAAAGAGCGCTTGTTTTATGGTTCAAAGGTCCGAAGTACAATAGTCTGAAAAGAAGTACTGTCTCTTCATAATCCCAGCGCCTTCATTCGTTACAGAGGACTTATACAGTAAATGAGATCGTTTCTCTCCATTTGCGTGTTATCAACTGAAATAAACTTGACCACAGTACCATGACAGCCGCCTCTTACAGCCAGCGAGGGATCAGCAGGATAAGGGAGAAAATCACCGAGTTGCCCTTATACCACTCCGGAGTCCTGTCTAAGAAGTACCCCGCAGAGAAGGTAATTCTGTATTCGGGAGTCAGAAACCGCTTCTAGGCATGTCAATATCAAAATTCCCCATCAATTATCTGAATTTCCTCTCACTGATGGTGGAGTTTGCAATGACCATGTTCTGATAAAACGTCCTACTTTATCAAAACATCCTACCGTAGTGCTAATCGATAGACCTAACCCTAACTCCTACCCTAACCCCCCAAAAACCCTTACCTTAACCCTAACCCCTAATCCCAAAACGGTGGAACTGCACATGCGCAGAAAAACTCGATAGCAGGTCTCGATAGGTAGGATATGTTATGACAGAACACCGGCAAAACCGAAAACTTTCCCCACGACTTTTCGAAAACAGTCGTATAATCGTTTGTTTCAGGTTTTTAAGAAGTATTACGCAGAGCTGAGAGGATGTACGATTTTCCTGTACACGGATGAGAAAAAAGACATGGTAAGATAGGGTCTGTTTAGCCGCCGTATTTATAACACTATTTCTATGGTTATACATTGAACTTTGAAAGACAATTTATATCACTGTTGCCCTCACTTTCAATTTACTATGTGCAGCAGTAAATGGGTAAATGTGAATTACTTTATGTGCATTTTTTTTCTTCACGTTACCATAAGGTTCTGTCTTTTACATATTTGTACTTATTTACTACAGAAATAATGGCTTTCGTGCGGCCTTCATTATTCATAGTCAGTTTGAGCAATGACATGCCAGACCGTCTCAAAAGCGCACGCTCACTGTGCTTTGGCTACCCAGTACACCGAACGGCTGGAGCTGCGAGACCTGAAGGCTGTGCAGAAGGTTGCGTCCGAGTTCGGCTGGTCTGTCTACTCCCTAATCCTGCCCAAAGAGGAGGTTCATCTGAAGGTTAGGGGTGGGGCTTGTCTGGAAAGAAGCAACAAAACGGTTCCCAAAAAAGCACTGTAGTGGAGTGATCACCCTCACTTCTGCTATACTTCAATGAAATGACAAACATTCTAACATAGGTTACATAACTATATAAAATATTACAATACTGTTATTCCTCCTAAACTGAAATGGGACAATGTGAAGTATTTAACCATATGTCAAATCAAAAATCCAGATATGAAACATAAACCAAACCGTAATTCCCCTGCAGGCCAGTGGTCCAGATGCTGAAGAGTGGAGAGGCTACATATTGGCAGTGACCAAGGTGAGCTCAATCTACTTAATTCTGCTCTTTCCTCCTCCACACATTTTAGAACTTGGCTGTTAACCAAATGCACCGTTTGTCTCCTGTCATGGCATTCATGTGCCAGGGATTAGAGTACTTTAACTAAACACCCTCAAAAGAACAGAAATGCTTTTAAGCTAAAAAGAAGTGATTGTGTACATACCGTATATGTAGATATGAGGATGTAATATTTTCTTATTGGGTTGCGGCACATTACAAAAAACACAAATACTAAATCTTAAAACAAATCTCAGGCTAAGATTTAGGCAGTGCTGCTCAATGCCCATGTGGCGCCCTGCCCCGTCCGGCAAACTTCACTCGCATGATGTCCACCGGTGGTTTACCAAGTCAGCCCTGTTAGATGCCACCACTCAGGCCCATTGCCCATCTTGTCCCTGCTAGTATCTGCCGATGGATTTATAAATATAGCCATTGAAATGAGACCGCCAATGGTAATAATCGTAAGAAATGCTTCCCAAAACAACCAAAGTATTCAGTAATTCTAATATTCATGTTCATTTACGAGGGGGATGCACACGCACCTTCAGAAATCTTGTCGAAATGGTTTAAAGCATGAAACCATGTAATTTAGCCTTTACTGCCATCTCCTCAATGGCGGCGATTATCCAGATGGAGATACCAAAAAATATGAGTCTGCTCCCGGGTCAAATGATGAGACTGGAAGAGGTCACCAAGGAGGAGTGTAAAAGGACCAGCCTTTCTCTCAAGGAGGACTCTCTCGGAGCTCCATGCAGCACCAACAGCAACATCACAGCTGATCTTCCCTCGTGAGTTTAATGGCTCTTGTTCAGCAAATCTGGGGTTTGCAGGTTGCAACGTGACTACTAATGCACATCATTGCAGCACTAAACTATACGTCTATAATGGTGGCTCAGTGTAAGATGATATTGACCTTGGAACCTGACCCAGGAACTACAGGGTATATAACGGGAAATGCTGGACAGGACGCCCGTCCATCACAGCGCACACAGTCAGACACAATTAAACATAGTGAGAATTTAGAGACATCAGTTCACATAAACACTCTTACAGACTTCCGCACTAATTGCTAAGCCCTGGCTATGCGAACGCTGCTTGCGTCCCTCTCTCCAGATGTTTCTATAACGTCACCCGTCAAGAAGCAGTGCAGATGCTGGAGGCCGACCCAGAGTGGGGCAACATCATCTTGCGACCATCCGCTGACAGCGACGGTTACGCCGTTACCACGAGAAGGATAGTCTCCGGGTGAGCATGAGACACATCCTCCAGATTTCTTTAGATGTGTAGTTTCACATCTCCATTCTTTTACAACTTTGCACATTAAAGAGTGATATGCAGTGTATCTCACACACAGATAGTGCACTCCGTCTATTGTTTCATACAGACCAAAACTGTACATCATTGCTTACTCATGATTTGTTATGCGATGCTGAATCACGTTCTTTGCGCATCATTCTGTGTTGTAATGCGCTTCTTCTCCAAAAAACAGAGATGCAGTAATAAGACATTACAAGATTCAGCCAAGTAACTCTGGGTTTGTCATCCAGCTGGAGGCCAGTGTGAGTATCAAGTGCCAGTTTGTTCCGTTTACATCTGGCAGATGATCTTGTCACATCCTGATAGCTCAGTCCTTCCTTGGCTTGTTAGGAAAATCCTGCTGAGGTCTCCATCTTCTGTCGGGCCAGGTGACGATACCCAGCCTCAATGGAGTTGTGCTTCACTTCGTTAAACAGACCGGACTCCAGCCCTTTGTCAAGTCACAACACTACGATACCCGCATAGGTAAGTTTAAGCATCCAGGAAAAAAAAACACAATCCGATCCACAAAAAGGCAAGCTGCAAACACACATTAACATTTTTTTTCCCGAAGATCGTTTATAATGCATATGACGATCAAGTCGTTAACGTCTGAAATTTGATAAACTTGATGAAGCCAGATAAAGTCCGGTCTTTGTTGTTTGTCTCCATGTCAGAGGTTTGCGGGACGAAGCCCGACGTCGCAGCTGGATCGGCGCCACTGCAGAAGCCGGCAGTTCCTCCCAGGACAGTGTCTTGGGAGAACACTCCGCCAACGCAGCCTGGGCCATAGCCGCGTATTAACCTGCATGGAGTCCCAGATCCCGAAGCCAACACGTGGAAAAAGGAGTAAAATAAGGAGAAACGGCAAAACACTAAAGCACCACAACATTAATTGAAACCGGTATTTATTGAATCGCACGAAGACTTGCCCTTGACTGTACACCGAGTATAGGCCTATCTACCATAGGGAACACTCTGGAATTGTAATTAAGGATAATTAGGCACAGTTAAAACGACTTGTTGCGATATTTCACCCGTATTGTGGTAAAGGTGTTGAAGCTATCCCAAACTACTGCAGTTCATGTGGCAAGGTCCAGGGTATTTTAAAAGGAATGGCAGATCTTCCATGGCTTTCGTTTAGGACTCACCCCTGGTGGGGAAAAAAATGAACTTTATTGTTTATTGTAAAGTTTTCTTCTGAAGACGGTGAACACAATGGTCTTAAAATTGTATTTCTATCGCATGACGAAATAATTACCAACATTGAACAACTTAAGTCAGGGTTGCCAGCTACGATTGTCTTGAGAGATTGAGATTTTCAATTCGAGACAAGTCTGCACATGGATTTACATGTATTTAAGAGTTTTATTACCTTGTAAATAGTCTGTAGGGCTTGCAAACTACCCCAACACTTTTAATGTAGCTAATTTTAGATTTATAATGGAATAATACAGATTTTCCGTAAGATTTCTTGCACGAGTCTGAAAGCGTGAGTGTCACGGCAGATGCGTGACAGCTGGCAACCCTAATTAAGTGATTAAAAAAAACTGCAGGACAAGCAAGTGAACATAATGATAAAATAATAGCAACCTTGTGGTAGACAGATGGATGGTTATTTTCTCCCATCCAGTGTTTAATGGCCGATACACTGTAATATTTAAAATAGAAGATTCTAGAGGACATTAAAAACGTGTGGACGACGGAGTTCAGCAGGGACTCACTTTAACGAGAGTGCTGAACTCTTTGGTGAAAGTCATCCATGGTGTTCTTGGTGGCCAACATTTAGCTGGACTTCACAACCTATCAATTTTCACAGCAACAAATTCATGAGGAAGATGTTTTTAGAAAACATGTGGCCTGTACTACGAAGCGGGGTTACTGGCTTATCGGGATAACTTGTCGGATTTAAGGTACCGCAGTTTAAATAACAAACAACAACAAATGTATTTTTGTATAGCGCATTATCACAACATTACATTGTCCCAAAGCGCTTTACAGCATCCCCACCCAAAGCCCCCAGTGAGTAAGCCATAGGCGACAGTGGCAAGGAAAAACTCCCCAGAAGGAAGAAACCTTGGGAGGGACCAGACTCAAAGGGGGAGCCCATCCTCCAGGGGCTGGCAGGGGGAGTCAAATCGGAATGGACTTCATATTTGTTCACTTACATTTCACCCAGACTACCTTAAATCCGACAAATTACCCCGATAAGCCAATAACCCCGCTTCATAGTACAGGCCAGTCAGTGCTTGAAGTGGGAAAAAATAAGTGCAGGAACTCTAATTTTCTCGGGCCACTGTCGCTGCGTCGGATCAGTTTCAGTAAGTACCGGAACGCAGAAAAAAGTGGCGGAACCCAAAAGACGAAAATCGTCTGCGTTCCGGCCCACTTCAAGCACTGAGGCCAGTGGTATGGTCCATCTGACCCTCATTCTGCAAACAGTTGTGGCAAGCCTGTCATAGAAAGCACAGGACATTAGGAAGGGATAGGATGCCAGTCCATGACAGGTCTCGGTCTCTCTGTGTGTGTGTCTCTCTCTCTCTCGTTAATTTAGAGACACCAATTCACCTTCTTTTCATACTTTTAGACTGTGAGAGACAACCACAGTATCCAAAGGAAACAAAAGTTTCATTCATTACCAAAGGATATTTTCAGCCAAGTACAAAATGCTAGATTGAATTGAATGGATAGTTATGAATGAAACAATCTGTCACATCTAAGGGGAGGTAAATTTACAACTGATAGTTAATAAGGAACAACCGGTCAGCAGTCTTGGTCATGTATACTTCCCTATATCACCACACTGGCACACAGGTCAGCAGTCTAGGTCATGTATCCTTCCCTATACCACCACACTGGCACACAGGTCAGCAGTCTAGGTCATGTATCCTTCCCTATACCACCACACTGGCACACAGGTCAGCAGTCTAGGTCATGTATCCTTCCCTATACCACCACACTGGCACACAGGTCAGCAGTCTAGGTCATGTATCCTTCTCTATACCACCACACTGGCACATAGCTCTGTAGTTTCCATCAGTGAAACAGAGAAACATCAGAGTGAAACACTGAAACTTCAATAAGCTTTTCTACACTAGAGATGAGGGCTGTGCAGTTCAAGGTCCTTAAGGTCAGAGCCCTGCTGATTCTCCAGCCTTCCTCTGCCTTTGAGCCAGGTGTGAAGCCTTTGGCCAATCAGAATCAATAATGATTAAACTAGCTATCTGGGAAAACTGAAAACAAGACCTGGATTTGGAATCGAGGACCAGAGCTGAACAGCCCTTTATAGACTAGACCGTGTCTCTCTGCAGCATCACAGATGCAAAGGTCTTGACCTCAACATGACTGGAAGGATGAAATTATATTTAAAAAATAGCAGGATACCTTTCTGGAAACAATCACACTTACTATACATTAAAAACTTTAGAGTAAAAACACATGATTTCAGTAGGACTCGTTTTATTTGTAGTTGCCTTCACTGTTAAGTAGAGATGGGCGATACAGTGATACGGAATAAACTCACAACTACGAGTTACAGACACCCAGCATCACTGGCCACCCTGCCGGGACGGAAGCACTCTTTCCAAAGACAGGCAAACTTAATGGCTAACGATTAGCGTTAGTCGTCTAACCGAATGCCTGCTTGTGTGGAGCGGCTCCCGTAAAGCCCCCTACTGGGTAATTATCCAATTTAAATAATTTAAACAGAGGTGCCCCTCCTTATGTCACATGGTTTTCAGCTGTTCAGCGTGGGGCAGAAGGTCTCGTTCAGAGAATCTGTTTTTGGGTAAAAATCGTTGGGTCTGTTTCGTTTGCTTAAGTAATAAATAAAATTGAACTTTTAGTCTAAATTCTTTCTACCTGTGAAGTTCATTATCGAAGAAAGTTTTTGGCTGGCTTACAAAGCCACCTGAGCAGTGAACCCCCCCCCCCCGGATCTTGGTAACACCCTCGTCTGTCCACGCTCAGGAATCACATTATACGGCAACCCTGTGTTTTACTGGCACAGAACGATTTCCCCACGACTCACGGCCCAGCTTAACCCGCTTCGGTGGTTCTGGCTGGTGCTCTGGCTCGCCTGCTTAGCTAATGCCCCAACGGTGTGCAAACGAACGACACAAACGAAACACCCAAGGCAGCCCCACCTGCCTCTTTGCATCCCACCGCCCAGTCCATCGCTGCCAGGAACACCGGAGCAGACACTTTTTTATCATCATTTGTGTTATTATTAATATCTTCAATAATACACGAAACACAGTATTGTTTAAGGCATCAGCACAGGCAAAGCTATGCAATAAAATAAAACCAGTAGAAAAAAAAAATTATGTACACAGGTATGTCAAGTGCTACTCTTCTAGTGGTCCTTAGAGAGGGAGGGGTCAGACGGTGGGGGGAGGGGGGGGCACAGCCCGCCTCATCAGTCCCTCCCATCCTGTGTGTCCCGATTGAAGTAATATCTAACTGGAGGACCTGGAAGATCTTCATCTCCATCCTGCTCCGGGGCGAAGGACACGGTCAGGTCCACGTACTTCCTGTCGGGTGACGGCTTCACCAGCTTCTGCATACTGGGAACAGAAGTTAACCCTCAGGTGAGCCCATTATGCAGGGCGAGGACCCCAGCAAAGGTCAGGGCCACCACGGCCAGAGACGAGGACCCCCGGCACTTACGTGAGTTTCAGCCGCTTGTTGTGTCCCGGCATCACGGGCACGTAAAGCATCTTCACCCCGTGGACCACCATCGTTGGTTCGATGCCGTATTTTTCCTGAGAGAGAGAGAGAGAGAGAGAGAGAGATGGCAAATACGTAAACAAGGTGCAAATTCCCATCCCTGTCCTGGAAATCAGTGTAAAATGCATCGGATGAAACTGAGTGAGGCCCATTTTGGCCTGTGATATAAATAATCCATCCAATCAACTGCTTGTTCTACGAAGGGTAATGGGGGGGTGGAGTCAATCCCAGTCAGCACAGGGCACAAGGCACAGGTTAGATGGCGTGCCAGTCCATCGCAGGGCACAGACACTCACGCACAGACGCACCACCCCAAGAGAAAACCCGTCCAGAGGACCGAGGGGCTGGTCCTTACCCTAACTCCATTCATGAAGTCAGACAGGGTGAAGTCCTCCTGGCCGTAGACGGTCCAGCGGTCCCAGATGGAGAAGGAGATATTATCTCTGTGGAGAGACCACATGCTCATGGCTTGGTTTACAGTAATGATTCACTTCTAGTGCAGTGTTTGTGTCATGGCACCAGCAAGTCCCACTATGAGCCCATTCCCACACAAACAAGGGATAAAGAAGAAACAAAGATGGTAAAAACACAGCGGGAGCGTAAGGATTTCACCTGATTTGGGTTTTCTTGACTTGGGCAGTCTCCGTAAACACTATGACAGGAATGGCCAAGTTAAAGAAGCAGTTCTTGAAGGACTCGAAGTCGTAGCCCCCAACAACTTTGATCAGCTCTACCGCCACCTTGGGGTAAAAACATGAAATAACCACACAGAATATTTAGTCATCACTCTGTGTTTAACATTTATGGTTTTCCAAATCACCACTATAAAATGAATAATTGCATATTTAAATCTTTAAAAGAAGCACAGAATTACACTCCATGCGATTCTCCCCCCCCCCCCCGCCTTTACCAGGCCTGCGACTGCGGCGGTTGCCGTGGCGATGGCGGGTATAATTTTCCCAGCGATGCGCTTGGTCTGGAGCCTGTCGGCCGCCTCGATGGAGTACATGTGCGCGCGCAGGGTGGACGCCGACACCACGAAGTCCATGTGACCATTGGAGTCGTCGTCTTTCTCAAACAAGATGGGGCTCATCTGCAGACGGTCTGCGGAGGAGGGAGAGAGAGTGGCCAGGGTGAAGAGGAGGAGGAGGGATGTTGAAGGGGGGGGGGGGGGGCGACAGGAACCAATATTCCTCCCACTCCTGCAGAACCCATCTTTAACATTTCTGGGCTGTAGACACAGGGAGCAAAATCAGGACCATCCAGGAGACGGAATCAAAAGTAGATCTGAAACAATGTGTTGCAACAGACCAAGCTGCAACAGCAACAGCACAATGTGTCAAAAAGTGCAAATCGACTCCCCATTTCCCCTGGAGAGGATTCCGGTGAAGTCTATTCGTCCTAAATATGCAGGGTCAGCGCTGTCCTTTTGTTTGAGTTTCCCGAAAATCTATCGTTAGTCGAGGCAAATCTGACTGGCTGCCGATTCGTGCGGCTTGACAGCTTGCAATGAGTGTTCCAGCTGTTCAGAGACGGTGTGGAAAAGCAAAGAGATTCAAAACAGAGTATGACTAAGCTCTCCGAAACAATTTAGCTGTCTTCATAATTATAAGTGACATTAGGGGTTATTGTAATCAATTTCTTTAAACATGCATTCTGTTCCCAGATACACTGTTGGCTGAATTTAAAAAAAAATGAATGCACGGGTAAGTCTACTTGAAAAACACGCGTGTTACATGACCGAGACGTGTCACATGTTAATGCCAATGAACGCCGCAGTGATGACAGCTAAATCGAGAACACACATATTGCCTCAAAAATCATGGAAAAGGACAGAGGATTAAATCACAAACATGAGCACACATTTTCCTACTTGTACTTCTCAAACGGGAAGGTCAGGAGAAAAAAAAAAAAAAAGCAAGAAAGATTTCCTGAGAAGTCGAACTGAGAATGTTCCAGAAAGGAGCAGATGGGCTGAATCGGAGAGCGTCCACTCAAACGCAGATGCTCTGTACTTATTTAGCCAGTCTTCTGTAACACCCGGCACCATTACCATGGTAATGCACTCATCATATGAACTCCTCTACATCTCTGGCCCTGAGATACTTGTCTTCTGTCCTCTAATTGCAATTCCCACAATCGGGGGGTTGGTCCCCCCTTTATTTTCCCTTTGTGGATTATTTAAGTTTATTCACCTTCCTATGGCCTTTCAGCCTGACCTAAAGATATCTGAGATTTAGATGAATTTTATTTAAGGCGCCCATTAAAGGACGGTGCTTTAGCTCAGTAGGCAGCACTACTGCTTCATATCCCCAGGGCTGTTTGTCTACCTATAGTCTTTAAATCATGCATAGTGTTCTGTGTCCAGGAGGCCTTGTATTTGGTCCCTGGACAGGATCCAGACCCACAAAAAACCTGCTACAGAAAATGAGCAGATATTTAATGAAATGTTATGAATGCAAAGTCTCTCCTTTTCCCCACAACAAATGATTATAGTTTTATGTTATGCAATGAATAAAGCATAAAATGCAAAAAATGTCAGATTAAAAAAAAAATATGCTGATCTGTATTATTAAGACGTTACAGGCATCCGAGACAGAAACAACAACCACTGCGAGAAAGTAAGATCTCGGGTGGCTGTGAGCGGCACGCTGATGAATTCGGGACGTCTGCGTAAGAGATCTCTGGTGACTGAGCGGCACGCTGATGAATTCGGGACGTCTGCGTAAGAGATCTCTGGTGACTGAGCGGCACGCTGATGAATTCGGGACGCCTGCGTTTCATTCCCGTGTAACACTGCAGAAAACTCTGCCAAATGACACTAACTCTGTGTCCACAAGCCATCAAACCGCTCGCACTGCTGGTGACGCCTGCATCTTGAATTTGAACAACATCTGGTATCCTGGCTTTCAGCCCTGTTCCCAGAAGACCTCTGGGGAACGTCGTTAGCTAGAAATGAATTAGTCACGATTAAGCTGAACTCTGCACTTTTAGCCAAAGATTTTAGCCAAAGATAAAAAAAAAAAAAAAAAAAAAAAAAAAAAAAACTTTACTACATTTCTAAGCTAGACCATAAGGTTGAAGTAATTATGATCAATTTGCACATTCATATAATTGTTGGAATAGGTACCATATAATGCAACATACTTCTAAATATACAACTAAATAGCACCTTATTAATTAATCACTCCTAAACTGGACCACAGAGTGGAAACCCATGACCTGGCCCAGTGGTCCTGGCAGTGAACAGCGTCTGTGCCGATGTCTGTTACGGCAGATTTCTTAATCAGTCTTGACGGAGTTCTGTAACTTCATCAAGCATGTGAGAATGAATGGATTACCTGAGAAGTCAGTGTCAACTTGAATAGCAAAGACAAGTGATTCATAGCATATTCAAGAATAATCCATCCATCCATCTTCTACTCACACTTCCTAGTCAGGGCCTCAGAATGTGCTTGGGATAGGTGCCAGGTCAAAGGGCACAGGGCAGGATGCCAGCGTGTCGCAGGACACACGCATGATCATACACCATCAGCAACTTAGAGACGCCAATTATCCTAACGGCATAACCTTGGATTGTGGCTGGAAACATGTGACACGCAGAGAACATGCCAACTCTAAACATGAGGCTGGATTCGAACCCTGTACCGTGGGGGTGTGAGGTAATACTGCAAGACACTGTGCTACCCCTACATAAAACACTAATTAAACGTACGATTAGGAAGATGGAGAGAGCTAATACGCATATTGAGTGACCGGAGCTCCGTGTTCTACATGAAGATACGTTGTCCCTGGGTGAGACGGTACCTGGGGCGGCAGCCTGGGATGCGACCACCTCCTCCAGCTGCCTGATGGCGTCCCGCTCCTCCTCACTGCTCACCATCAGCTTCATCTGGTCCGGCTTCTTGGCCATCTCGTCCGTCTCGATGCGCTGTCGCACAGTCGAGTTCGGGGAAATCACTCAGGGTCGTCAAACGGGTTCACATCCTTAACTGTAAAACTCTAAGAGACGTCTTCCATGGCCTTGTTATTTCAACGCTAATGTGCCATCCATTTCTCACATAGGTGTACCTTAAAAGGCCTTTCCAGCTACTAACACAATATTCTGTTTGTGCATTATGCA